TTTTACTTTATTATATATATATATATATATATATATATATATGGGCCTTATTCTTATCTGCGGCCGTCATCCCCAACGATGGGGACACAGTAGACTAAGACTATTTTCTCTTTTCCGTGCATTCTACTGCCGCAGGGACAGGTGTGGTGCTGCGGCGATGGCTGAGAGTGCAGGTCACCGATGTCATTCGGGATAATGTTATAAAATAAAAACGGATACGAGAAGACAGCCTTCTGCATTGCCGCAGCACATCTAATAAATAACTGTGCACAAACATACGCACACTTTTCTCACCACGAAACCACAGGGTGTGGAACACTGCTGCACGATGTGTTTTCGCTGTTAACAAGACCCGTATATATGTATATATATATGAGGTAAACGAGGCGTAAGGAACTGATGTTGCTTATGTTTTTTTTTTTTTGGCATGCTGTTTCGTGAGCACTCATTTGTTGGCTTCATTGCTTCATTGAGGTGTTACCTGGTTCTTCTTGTGTCACCGCCCTTCTTGTTTCTCTTGTTGTTGTTGCTGCTGCTGCTGCTGCTGGGTGTGTGGGCGGAGGGAATGATACGGCAAAGCCTCGAGGTGGTTCCCACCGTGCAGCCCAAGTACCGGCTGGAGGAGGATGCACGGCAGGCTGCGGAGAAGCGCTGTCACGGCGGGCAGCAGCCAGTGGTCACGGCAGGGACGCGGGTGGAGCGTTACCTCATCGTCAGCTGCGGTGATGTTATGTCGATTGTGGGCGGTGGCAGCAGTCACGCTGCCGACATAGATTTTACTTCTGGCTGTGATGGCAGCGGGAATGAAGCGAGGACGGAGAGGGGTGGCGCTGGTGTTCGACTTTTCTCGTTGCTGCCAGCACCAGAACTGGCCTCTCGCAGGCCGCAAACACTAGAAGTGTTGGAGGCTCCGCGGAAGCGATGGAAACGCATTCGACGGACAGTGTATCAGGCTTTACTGAGCCCTTCCGGAGCGTCTGGTGAAGCTGACGAGGCGGTTAAGGAAAGGGAGGAAGATGAGGGAGACGAAACTGCAGAGGGCGACACGGCGCCACGCTTCAGCTCAGTTCCGCTACCCGAGTACGAAAACATGGCATGCATTATCCTCGCCATTCCTGCTGTTACGGAAGGAAGACAGGTGGCACAGGGAAGACTGCTTGACGCCCCGCTACACACCCTCCGTTACGAACGCACAGGCGCCCCAAAAACAGGCCAAGGTATTTCCACATCGTGGTATTCTGGTCTTGACGTCCGTTCTGTGGGTTTTAAGCGCAGCTACATCGACGATGACGACGGCGCGGAGGAAGGGGATGCGCATGGAAGCTTCTCTGATGCTGTCATGCCTGAGGCTCGACAGGACACTCGGAAGAAGCGTAAGGTGGACGCCGGTAACGCGACAGCTACGAGTGTGAATGAAACAGAGGCAACGGGAGGAGAAAACGTTAGTCCAGACGATGTGCAGCAGACGAAAAGTGAAGAGACCCCTGTGACGCTTTTGCCGACGTCAGTCCTTCGTTCTGTGGAGGGGGTTGCAAAGGCGAGCGATGCGTTGGACTTCTCGGGCGTCAACGCAGAGGACCTGCAAGGCCTCACCGCCTCGCTTCTGCAGCAGTGGGCATCCACTGGAAAAGCGGCCGTGCCCTTCTCCGAGGTGGCGAGGGTTGTGCTCAAGTTGCACCCAAAGTACACCGAAATGAAAGTGAAACATCAGTCCCCGGAGACCAGGCAGGAGGCGGTGGGGTGGTTTCGTGTCTCACAGTCGACCGTTCGGTCCCACGTTCTCCATTTGGGATACACGATAGACAGCACAAACAACGTGTACCTATCACAGCTGTCGCGCAGGTAGCCACGCTGAGGAGAGATGGTGGAGAAGCACCACCTGCTGAGGTGCAACAATGGCAGAGGCAAAGGAGTTTACATTCCTTGGAGTTTGTCGTGGAGAGCCATGAGATGAGAGTGCTGAGCAAAGTTTCAATCCTCACTCTTTTTCCTCTTGTTGCTGTTGCGCCGTCGCTGCCGCGTGTGGGTGTGTGTTTCTCAGCTGGACTGCAACGCTTCCTTCTACTACTTTTTTTTTTTTTTGTTATTACCCTTCTTTTTTGTTTTCTTTTTTAATCTTTTTGTTTTTTTTTGTTTCTCACTCGCGAATTCTGTTCTACTGCAGTGCTTCCTACATGTTTGTTGTCTCCTCCGTTTTATGGTTTGCCTGGGCAGATGAGCGAGATGCCGAAGTATGATGCATCTGCCCCCGGTGAGCAGCAGCAGCGGGCCTCCAGCTCAGACGCTCCTGATAAAAACAAATACGCTGATCCATTACATGTTGAATACAATGAAACGGAGATAGTGAGGACGTCATCCACAACGCACGTTGCTGCACCGGCGTTTCTCCAAGCACAGCAGCAACAGCCACGTGAGGCGTGTACGGCTGAAGACACAAATGTGACGCATACACCGGAAGCAGGGCTCCAAGTTTCCTCTGGCATAGAGCGGGGGAGTTGTAGGGAGTCTATGAAGCCACAGTATTCGACAGATTTTCTCTCGGCCAACGATTCATCGACGGAATTTGACAATAATAAAAAATCCATCACAGTGGAGGTCACATCTGACGGTGTCACGCGTATGATGGAGTTTGAACCACGGGAGCTTGCTCGGTTGTACGCGCAGCAACAGGCCGCCCTTCGCTCGGTTTGTGGAGAGTTTGATATTTTATACGTCCCAGATTGGGTTCGCCTGCACCCGTTGCTAGGGTCCTACGTGGCAGAGGCATTTGGAACGTTTGCCTGCGTCCTTACCCTTTCGCTCGTCAGCGTTCGTAACCAAAGTATTTTTGATGAGAGCAAAGACACCAACGTGACAGCGCTTCCGATTGGATTTATGTTCATGTGCATGGTGTTTACTTTTGGCTACATTTCAGGTGGTCACTTCAACCCTGCTGTTACGCTGGCTGTCTTTCTCGTACAAAAGTTGGATTTTGTACGAGCTGTGGGGTACATGATTTGTCAAACGGGGGCGGCCACGGGCGCTGGACTTGTGGCGATGGCTATACAAGGGAGTACTGACATATTTGTGCCGTATGTGAATAGAGCATACGTCTCCTCTGGCATATTCTCAGAACTCATCTTTACCTTCGCTATTGCCACGGTGGTGCTGAATGTGGCGTACTCCCGGCAGAGCGGAAACTTTTTCTACGGGTTTGCCATTGGAATGACGGTTGCCGCCGGTTCTGCAGCTGTTGGACGAATTTCTGGTGGGGCCTTCAACCCTGCCGCCGCCACAGGCCTTCAGCTGGCGCTCTGCCTTACCGGGAACTGCGAACCCTTGTCGTCCTTCTGGGTCTACTGGATGGCACCGCTGGTCGGCTCTGTGATTGCCGCCTTGCTGTACTCGCAGATTTCGCAGCCGGAAGACACGCGGGTCCTCACAGACGCGGCAGTGCTGTCGGAGGATCCACTCGCAAACAAGGCGTCCCAGGTGTCTTAGCTGTTGTGGTTGTTTTCTTCTCTGCCCCTCTGCATGTTTGCTTCTCCGCTTTTGCACAGCAACTTCCTGCGAGGAGGATGTGGCTGGTGGTGGTGGTGGTGGTGAGAGGAGAACAAAACAAAAAAAAATCAAAAACGAAGGCACATGCCTTTTTCAGGGAGCAATCGCGGGGTGCACTGTGTGCGTGTGTGTTTGGTGGGTAGGGAGCGGCCATCGCCTCTCCGTGCGCCTGTGAGAGCGTTTACCCACGAGTGGAGCGAAGAAACCTCCCTTTTTGTCATTAGCTTTTTTTATTTTATTTGTTGTTGTTGTTGCTTTTTTTTTTTCGCTCTTCTTCGTCCTCTTTACACCCCCGTCGTGTTTTTGTTTGAAAATATTCAAACGGTTTCGACCCGCCACACGGGAGTGGCGCTGCAGTGCGCTGCCTCCGTTTTTTTGTGCGTGTGCGTGTAGTTTTGGGTTGCCCTGTTTCATTTGACTGCGTTTTTTTCTTTTTTCTTTTTAGCTTGCCGTCTGTGCGTGCGTTTGTTTGTTCGTTGCTTGAAGAGAAGGGGAGACCCCTTCGTGACTCTGGTGCGTTCGTATAAAAAAAAACGAGGAGGGCGAGGGGGGAGGGGGACAGGGTAGGAGGAGAGAGCGCGTGTGTGTGCGGCGGTCGCCGTGCTTACACAAAGTGAGTGAAGATGTCGGGGGACGTAACCGCAACGGAGGAGCGCTCCTACCTGGCGCGCAAACTCCCTTTGTTTAAGTTATCTGCATACCAGGCGAAGTTCATTTGTGAGGGTATTGGTACCTTTATTTTCGTCATGACCATCTCCCTGGCGGAGGTGAATTGCGGCGCCGCCGCCATCAACGGCAAGACCCGCACCCGGAACCTTGCCCCCATTGCGGAGGGCTTCATGTTGTCTGTGCTGGTGTTTACGTTTGGCTACATATCTGGTGGCCATTTCAACCCTGCCGTGACCTTTGCAGCCATGCTTGTCCAGGCCATGCGGATGGAGGAGGCGGTGGCGTACTGGATCGCGCAAGTGATTGGCGGTGTTTTAGGCGCTGTCTTTGGTACTCTGGTGAACGGTTTTCCGCATCACCTACCCGCCCCACAGGTTTACCAGAACCTCCCAGGGCACGTCTTAACGGGCTTCATTGCGGAGGCGTTGTTTGCGGGGTTCCTGGTGACCGTCGTTCTCCACGTTGCCTACTCCCGTCAGCGCAACAACCACTACTACGGCTTGGCCATTGGCATGTGCCTCCTTGCCGCCGGGTACTCCGTGGGCGGCGTGTCTGGCGGTGCATTCAACCCCGCCGTTGCGACGGGGCTTCAATTGACGAAGTGTATCGCGGCCGGGTACTGTATTCCGTTGATGCATCTCTGGCTGTATTGGGCCGCTCCTGCCGCGGGGGCGGTCGGGGCATCGCTGCTCTTTAAAATGACGCATCCCGTGCCGCAAGAGACGGAAGAAGAGGCGCGGAGGAAGGCGCTGCAGCGTTCCGCGCGGCATCTCTACGGGTCGTAGGGTCAGCGGCTGACATTTGCACCCAACGAATAGGCACGAAAAAAAAAAATGGAAAAAGGTTGTGGAGTAACGCAAGGGGATAATTTGATTGCGGCAAAGGCGTGGTCTGCCGCAACGGCGACGACAAACAACATCAATGGCGGCAGGTAGAAGATGATAGAAGCAGGAATGAGAGTTGCAGTGTTAGTGGGAGGAAGAAGTGGTGACACATCTTTGTCGTGGATGTCGTCTTCTCTTTTTTCTGTGCTTCGGCGCGTCCTGGCACGCGCGGGCGGTGGGTGACGGAAGCGCCTTGGCGTTGAGGCCAAGTTTGCAAGTGGGCTTGTTTTGCATGTCGTGCGCGATGCAATTTATTTTTGATCTCCGCCGTTCTTTACTTTTTTTTTTTGTTTGCACGCACGAGGGGAGCCGCCTGCAACGGGGCGGCACGCATGTCTTGGGACGATGATGAGAGCGCTGGGGTGACGAAGGGGTCGACGTCGCCCTCAAGCTCTCTGCTGTCCTCCTCCGGCCTCGCGTTATCCACGGAGGCCGCCGGAACCTGGATGACGTGACTCATCTGCGTGTTCTTCGCGCGTCTCGCTACTGGGGAGGAATTCCCGCCCCTTCATCTGGCACGTCCGCACCGAGATGCGGCGCCTAACCCGAGTAGCATTGAGAACTCCAGCTGTGCCAGCCGCCTCACCAGGCATCGACGTCGTCACGACTACGACAAAGGCACCAGCACCCAATTTGTCTGGCCCTAATCAAGGCACTGCAGCACTTAGCGAAATCAGTGACCGGGACAAGTTGTTTCTTCAACGTGCTGCGAAAGTAGCCTTAATGCTTTATGTGGAGAGTGAGACAGCACAGGAGGAGGCAACACGACTGTTGTGTGAACCGGTTGTGGTTCAGGTTCTGCAGCATGACGCGAAACACGCTGATGGCGTTGCTTTGCCTTTGCCACGCAAATATGATGTTTTGTTGAGTGACTGTGTTGCGGTGCGCTACGCAAGGCGATGGGAACGCAAGGGGCGATGAGATGTGGGGTTACAGCTGCTGGGATGTGTCGACCCCACCCCTAGGGAAGCGGCGGCAGCGGTGGAGCTATTCAGCCACACTGGGCACTGGGAGATGGCGCTGCAATCGCTTGGCTGCATTCACCCCGCGTCATGGGACAGAGATTTAAATCTCAGCCGCCGTGCGCAGCCTTTACCCAGCCACCAAAGCGCATCGGCACAAACGCATGACGGTTGGTGAAGTCTCAGAGCCGGGGCTGTGGAGGTTTGCACTGCACATCTTGATGCTGGCTCGTGACAACGGAGTTCAGCTGAGTGCGCCATCGGCGGCCAACGACGCGCTGGGTTTACTTGGAGAAGATGAACAGCGGTGGGTCATGGCGTGTCGCCTCGTAGAAGTCATGCTGCTGCGTGGGAAAAGGGAGGGATTGGTGGGGGATTCCAGTAACAAAGTTCGTCCAAATGTGGTTTCCGATTACCACATGTGCCGGGGTCTGTGCCAGCATTGGCATCTTGCACCTCGTTACGCCTCGCTAATGATTCATGCGGGAAATATTTGTATATTTGATGATAGTCAAGTGACTGATCGCCTGTTAAAAGCCTGCGTCCGTGGGCACCGTTGGGCGGAGGCGTTGCATACAATGCAACAGTCCCTAGAAGGGAATTTGGGCAACGCGGGCAAAACAGACGAGGATTGTATTCGCACCGACATTTTCCTTCACGTTTTTGCGCGTATTGCACGAGTGCCAGAAGGGGTCCCTTGCCACGCAATTCCTTCAGCAGTCACAGCAGTCAAGGCACGTTATCACGGATACCAGGAGGAAGGCGTGTGACGTGATGCTGCGTTGCTGTACTAACGTCGCAGAGGCTCGAGTGTGGTTGCACATGCTTGGAACAAGGAATATATCAGTTGAAAATGAGTCCTACGACCACCTTATGGTTTTACACGCCAGGGAAGGTGAGTGGCAGAGGGCGTTGCCTTTACTTGACGCTCTTATCATCGATCAACGACGCCGGCGTCTTTATATTCCCTCCGCCAAGCCACATAACACGGTGCAATATGCCTTGGAGCGAGCTCCCCCGCCAGGACCATCGTGGGACCTGTCACTGACGCTTTTCACACGTATGTGCGAGTTGCATGTGCCGATTTCAGCGGTGACATTTCAGTCCATTGTAATGATGTGCTTTGCGCAGGGTAGGACCGAATAGGCGCAATCCCTTTTTAGGTTGGTGGTGCGGTACGGTGTCCACCGCTGACGGGCGGTGGTGTATTCATACACGCGAAACGGAAATGCTAATCGCATGCAAAGGAAATTGGTTCAAAAGTTGTAATGATCGGGATGCCAACGGTGCAAATTCTTTTTGTTTTGCTTTTACCGTTTTTTAAAATGTGAATGCGAGTTGTGTGGATATCTCAGAAAGCTGTTTGTAGCTGCTCGTGCGTATGTAAGCTTTTTTTTCTTTCTACCTTTTTACGCGCCATGTGTAAGGTTTTTTTCATTGGTGTAATTTCACGAGTGCCGGGGTAGAGGAAGGGGAGGCGAAAAACACATTAGAAAAAAAATCCCTAGGGAGATACCCAAGCGAATAAGAGAAGGGAAGTGGGGGAGGGGGCGGGGAAAAAAATAAAAAAGAAAATATGAGTGGATTTGGTGTGGCAGGAGGTGGTATCGCTGGAAGCAGCAACTTTGGCGCGACCTCAGGTCAGCAGTCCGGGTTTGGCTTCAATGCCGGGGGATTCGGCGTGAGTAACACAACCACTGCGTCCGGGATGGGGAAGTTGGAAACGACAGCGGTGCCATTTGCGCAAGCCCCTCAGGCATCTGGAGCGCAAGGCGGCTTCGGACATGCAGTTTTCGGGGCTGCTTCCACTGCTGGCGGGGTTGCCCCAGGTGGTTTTGGCTCTGCAGCGAAACACTGCGGCTCCGGCTGGTGGGTTTGGCTCTGCAGCGACCACAGCAGCTCCAGCTGGTGGGTTTGGATTTGCAGCGAACACTGCGTCTCCAGCTGGTGGTTTGGCTCTGCAGCGAACACTGCGGCTCCGGCTGGTGGCTTTGGCTCTGCAGCGAACACTGCAGCTCCGGCTGGTGGCTTTGGCTCTGCAGCGAACACTGCGGCTCCAGCTGGTGGCTTTGGCTCTG